TAGGAAGGGAACCCCCACCTCAGTCAAGATCAGATGGTGAATAGGAGATCCCTGCCTGAGTCAGGATCAGATGGTGCCTAAGGGACTTCCATTCAAGTCAGTGTCAGCAGGGAACCCTCACCTGAGTTAGTCTCAGATGGTTCATCAGGAACCCATTAGGGTTGAGCAGTGAGTGGATCAACGAGTCCCCTGCCTGAGAGTCAGATAGCGGTGAGAAGCCCAGCCCTGCTCCCTCCTAGGCAGTTCAGGCTCAGCCAGGCCCAGAGGGCTAGACCCCAGATACCCGCATATGACCATCTGTCCCAGTGGACAGAGGGATCACCATGGAAAAACTGCTGTGGAAGCCCGGCAATAGGTCAGACCAGCCTAGGGGAAGCTGGATGGCCTGTGGATGACACAGGTAACTGTGTGTGGTGCTGTGGTTCTAGCCAAGACTTGAGACAAGTTTTCCACCCAGCACACCCCCATTAAACTGGGGAAGATTGGGGCTACACCTGCAGGTGCCAGAAACAGTGCAGTGTTTGCGAAAATGGGTACAATATCCCAGGTACCCATAGAGGTGATGGGGAGAAGACTTCCCCCGGGCTAGCAGGACTGCAGAGGCTGGAAGGGTGAAGCCTGCTATAATCTCCCCAACGTCTGGCCATCACCTGTGGGCTATTTGCAACATGTCCCCACAGTGTGCCCCTGTCCCCTTGCCTGCTGCAGGTGGCCCATGCTGCTGTCTGTTCATGCTACCATGTGGCACAAGCCCAGAGAGAGCCAGCTGTAACACAGCAGGCAGAATGGGCACAGCCCTCTACTCACTGTACACGGTCACCACCCTGCTCATGGCCCTGTGCCCATAGCCCAGGCTGGTTCCCATCTTTAAGCTATGAGGCCACCCTTGCGACCAGGCCAGGGCATGGAGGGCTGGCCAGCAAAGTCGGCTGTGCTGGGCCGGCAGCCAGGCCAGCTCTGCCCGCCCCGCCCCAGCCTGCCGAGTGCCTCGGTGGCCATGGCCCAGCGCGCGCCTCTGCTTTGCTGCACAGATGCCACGGCTGCGCCTGCGGGTAGGAAGTGGGGTGCAGGGCAGGGCCAAGCCGCCTCAGCCGAGGGGTCCCACACCCCTCTCCTCTGCCGAGGCCTGCTGGAGGTCCTGTGCCCCACCATCCCTTGTCCGTGGGCAACTGCACAGGAAGGCAGCTGGGGCGGTGGCGGCCATAGTGGGGGGCGCAGAGAAGTTGAGCCCTGCTGGAGGAAGCTTGGGCAGCTGCGCACAGTGGCACTGGCCAAGCTGCCGAAGTCTAAAGGCACGGACAACTCGGGCGCTGGCGAGGGGAGGGGTCGGGGCTGGAGGATGATGCTGGGGAGGCGGGGTCTCACGTTTGTCATCAGGCCATGGGGCTGGGGGCAGTGCTGGCTGCTCAGCTCAGGGACCCAGTGTGCTGCTGGCAGGAGAGACTGAAAGCAGAGCATGGAGCGGGCTAATGGCGGGCTTCCCCAGATCTGCATGCCTGTGGCTGGTGCTGGGGACTCCCCGGCGCCAAGTGGCCCAGCAAGTGTGCGGTGATGGTGACTCGAGCAGGTTGGGGGGGGGGGCACCAGCACACCACCCTTCTCTCTGCAACTCTGCAGCCAGGAGTCTGCCCCAGTAGGTTTGTAGGGGAATTGCTAGGACTTTCTGCGTGGGGTTTCCCGCCTGGCCCACTTGTGGGGGCTCTGCCTCTTGAGTGCTGCACTTACAACTTCCAGGGGTCTTGCGTATGATAAATTCAGCCAGCCCGGATGAAGGTGGCTGTCCGCTGGGTACTGTTCCCAGTGAGTGCCCACTATCCAGGCAGGTGGGCTGGGTTGGGAAGACAAGTGGACAGAGCCCCGCTGGTGGCTCACCACCCACTGACACAGTGTGCTCTGGGGAGAGGTGGGCATGGGCCACCGTGGGTGGCTGCCCCTCATGCAGAGTAGCCATCCTCTGGCTGCTCAGGTTGTAGCTGACTAGCGTTGCCCAGAACTGGAGATGGTTGGCATTTCCCCATGGTTATAATTCTGATTTGGTCTCGGTTCTGGCCCAGTCTAAGGACAGTGCCCAGGGATCCTAGAAACAAAGGGAAGCTTGTAGGCTGCTTCCTGGCTGCCTCATGGCTCCCCTGGTTTTCAGCTGGCTCTCGCCACCCTAGAGCAGTCCCCGTAGTGCCCATGCAGGGTGCTAGGGTGTTTACCAAACTCTTCACTCTAGGGGGCTCTCCCCATTGGGGGGGTAAGTGTGTGTGTACACCTTCTGCTTGTCTCGGGGGGAGAGGTACCTCACCCCACCTGCACTGTACACGCTAGTCCTCCTTCATAGTGTGTGAATACCATACTAACCTGCAGAGGAGACGCCAAGGGAAGTAGGCCTCCCTGGGCCTTCCAACCTTGCAGGGCACCCTCCCATGTCCACCACCGTGACAGCTTCCACCTCTCCTCCAATGCAGCTCTTTCCTGACTTTCCCTTCACTCCCACACACATACTCACATGGGTCTGGAGTGTGCACATGTGTACTCACACCCAACCTTCACTGCCAGACACACTCACATGGGTGTTCACACACACACATAGTCACATATCTCCCTCCCCTACGTACTCACACAGGTGTTCACACACAGACATGTGCATGCCCGCATGTCCTCACCCTTCAGTCCCGTATAGACACAGGTGTTGACACACAAACACGTTCATACACATGCATGTACTCACCCTTCCCGTACATGCTTATACAGGTATTCACACACAGACACGTGCATGCCTGCATGTACTCACCCTTCAGTCCCGTACAGGCTCACATGGATGTGTGCACACATGTATATTCACAGCCCTCCTGATTGCTCACACATGTGTTCACACATGCATTTACTCACACCCTTCACTCTGACACACACCCCCTTTACTCCCGTGTACACTCGCACACTTGTGTACATCATATACACTTGCCCTTGTTAGGTACTCACACTCATCCACACCAAACCCTCACAAACCCCTTCCTCCCTCCCCCATTTGGATCCACAGACCATAACTACATGTTGTCCTCCCAGCCAGGAACCCCGGGGTCAGAAGGGAGGCTGTGTTCAGGTGTGTTGCGACCCCTGACCAGTTGCACAAAAGGGGATTTTTGGACAAAATTCCTGTTCTACCCCAGGAGACTCGCTTAGGGCCCATGGGCAGTGCCAGGCTGAGGGCACCTGGAGGCCAGGACTCCTTTGTGCTCCTCTGTGTCATCCTACATCCTGACATTTAGCATGGCCACAGTCTTGGGACTACAAACATCTGATGCTTCTGTGACCCCCTGCCACCATGTCCCTGAGACAAGGCCCACTCCTGACTTCTCAGTCCTTGAGAATGTCACAGGGTACTGTCCAGGGGGAGCCTACATAACTGACATAGCCAGGCTGCCCAAGCTGTCCCCTTGAGTGCAGGGGTGACATCGGTGTCCCGGGTGTGTATGGAGGCTCTGTGAGTCTTTCCCTCATTTGGTAAGGCTGTGCCTGTCGATGATGGAAGCCACTGTGGGCCATGCCCCTGGCATACACTCTGAGCAAGGTGGGTGACTCATGGGAGGTCTTGTGGTTGCAGCTTCTACATCCACCAAGTATCACCCCCCAATACCCACCATCCCCCAGCCGCTGGCAGCAGGACCCTTGGGATCTTGGGTCTGTCCAAGTTCCCTACTACATACCTCATAGATGTGCACATGGGAGCTTTCAGCTGCAGGATGGAAAATGGTCTGCATGCTTTTCCACCCGTCCTCCCGTGTAATCCGTAAGTGCATCCATGTGTGTGCGCGCACACCCCCATCCCCTGCAGCCACTAAGGGGCTCCCCGTTGTCACGCACACCTGCCCATTGGAGGGCTGACCATTATATCCATCCAGAGCCAGTACAGAAAAAAAATTTGACCATCCATGTCCAAAAAATATCCCAGCAAGTTCTGCCTTGGTGCACGTGTGTGTGCATCAGAGGCCTCCTTGCCACTGACTACATATGCACAAATGCCCAGGCAGTCATCACGCCCATCCCTCTGCAGGCCTGCCACCCCAGCACCTGCCTGACCCCCATGGTTTTTCAGTGTCCTGTGTTGTCCAGGCAGGCATACCTAGGCCTTGCTTGGCAGTGCTGATAGGGAGATTGGCTGCCTGCCTCCAGGCCTCCTCACTGTCCCAGAAAACCCGTCCCTGTACCAGTTGCCTCCACTGCTCAGTGACCCAGGGTTGCCAGAGCCTCCAGGCAGAGTGTCCTTGCTGACTTGAGATGGCACTCTGGCTACTCTGGATGTGCTGCTACATGAGGATGTACACCAATTGCACACCCATGGTGGCCTCAAGCAGGGGATCCAGCCCTGGAGTCCACTACATGTCCAATAGAGGTCAGGCTCCCAAGGCCCAGCCAGGCCAAGACTTGACATGTGAATCTCACAGCCATAGGCATTCAGATACGTGACCTTCCATCTCTGCATGGTCAGCCCTGGTCACTGACGTTGCTCTAAACCTTAGCTGACCCCTGAAGTAGTCAAACACTATGCAGAGCACAGGAAGTATAAGGCTGGCCAACATGGCCTTCACAGATGAGGAGAGTATCCCCATCACAGTGAACTGCCTAACATGGGGTATGGCAGCCAGCATCTTTCTGCTGGCCTTGGTGGACAGCCACCATGGAGCCACTGTACAGAGGCACACTTCCAGATATCCCAGACCCAGCTGGCACCTGGGGGACATGTAAATATGGGATGAAGGACCCTGTCATTGAAAGTCTGGCTTTTGTGTGGATTGGTGGTAGCAGTGACACGCAGTTCTCAGGACAGTGGAGAGGACTCATCTGTGTGAGGCCAGCAGGAGCCAGTGGAGGGGCAGGCTGGCCTGAGCTGGCTGTGGTGGCCAAGGCCATGGGGACCACCGGGTATGGGACATTGGACAGGGATACCTTGGCTCCAGGACAGGCCATAGATCCCCTGGCTTGGGCATCCCTGCTCACCTCCTGCCTCTCTGCAGGGCATCTGGCGGATCCCCGTGGATGAGATTGACAGGCCAGGCAGCTTCGCTTGGCACATGAACCGCTCCATCGTGCTGCTGCTCCAGGTGCTGGCCGAGCTGCGGGACCACAGCACCCTCCTCAAGGTGACCTCCATGCTGCAGCGCACTCCAGACCAGGGCAAGTGAGTGTCGCCCACAGGGCCCAGAGCATGCTCTAAACGGGCAGATGAGCACTACTCACCCACCTGGCCACAGACCCAGAGGGAAAATGGACCAGGGCAAATGAGTGTCACCCACTCACCTGGCCAGGCTCCTCTTGCCCACACGGCCACAGGACCCAGAGGGCAACTGGACTAGGGCAAGTTAGTACTGCCTGCCAGCCAGACTTCTACCCACACAGCTATAGGGCCCAGAGCTGGGGAGGGGACAGCTTTCCTATGAACTCTTGTACAGCTAGGCAGCCGACACTGTTCCTCCCACTAGGGCCCCCTGCTCCAAACACCTCCCCTGAGAGAGGTTTTCATATTGAGACTCAGAATAGGCTAACTTCCTTCCTGCTCCCAGAGCTGCTGGTGGTGCAGGAAAGACAGGGGCCAAAGTTGGCAAGGGCCAATCACAATACCCTCAGAGAGACTCTGCCCCCAGAAACAGGACCCTCAGAAAGATCTAACCCCAGGAAGGGACAGTGACATTCTCTTAGAGGGACCAGCCCCCCAGGAATGGACATGCAGAAAGTGCCATAAGCAGAGGTGTATGGGGATCCTTGGACAGACACAGCTTGGATGTGCGCTGAGCTGGGCAGTGAGGACCCTGCGTTGCTGGCTGGGCCAGTGGGCACCTTCTGAGCTAGCCCTTCTTCACCTGTGGCTGCTAAGCTTCATAACAGTAGCCAGCTGGGGGCACTTGGGATATTGACCTAAGAGAAGGGGGCTGGGTGCCCCAGTGCTTACTGACTTGAGGGCAAGGCTACCCACTGCAGTCCTGCCCAAGTGGTACAGTGTATTCTGTGGGGCCAGGGCCGGTATCCAGGGAAGCAGAGCCAAGGTAGGTAGGAGGCTGAGGGACAGGAAGTTAGAGCAGGGGACAGAGTTCACTGCCGAGGTGTGTGGTGGTGGGCCTTTGTCCTTCAGGAAGATTTCTGAGCGTAGGAGGCTAAGGGAGTGGAAGAGTTTTTAGGGTAGAGAGTTTTCTTGATAAGAGCTAAGATGTGTGTTGTTCTGTGTCCTACAACCTCTTAGGAAATACCTCCGTGATGCTGATCGCCAGGTCCTGGCCCAGCGGGCTTACATCCTCACCGTGAAGGTGCTCGAGGACACCCTGACTGAGCTTGCAGAGGTATGCAGTCTACCCTCTGCATACTAACTGCCTCCCGTCTACCAATAGTATGTCCCCCTTGCCGCTGCACCTCTTCCCTCTATATGACACAACTTCCGCTCTGTGTCTACGTTGTCTCTTCATTATTCCACATTGTTGCCTCACTGCCTTTTCACTGTCTTCTGACTGCCTCCACACTACCTTCTCACTATCTCCAGCCTATCTCCTCAATGTCTCCACACTGCTTCCTCTCTGGCTCCATGCTGCCTCCTCACTGCCTCCCTAGTGTCCCCACATTGCCTCCTCACTGTTTCTACACTGTCTCCACGCTGCCTTCTCTTTCCATACTGTCTCAAAACTGCCTCCACACTCTCCCTCACTGTCTCCATTCTGTAGCCACAATGTCTCCGTACTGCTTCCTATCTCCACATTGCCTCCTAACAACCTCTTCACTGTCTCCATACTATCTCCTCAATTTCTTCAAACTGCCACCTTACCATCTCCTCAATGTTTCTGTACTACTTCCTCTTATCTCTATACTGCCTCCTCACTGTCTCCTCGCTGCCTCCTTACTGTCTCCTCACTGTCTCCACAGTCTCCTCCACACTGCCTCCTCACTGTCTCCACACTGTCTCCTCCTGTCTCCACACTGTCTCCTCCTCACTGTCTCCACACTGTCTCCTCCTCACTGTCTCCACACTGTCTCCTC